GTCTGTTGTTGCAGGGGAAGGTAATGAAAAGTGTTTAGAGCATTCTCTTGTTCTGATGCCAGTTTGTTTCAGGCTTATCCAGTTTCATGTAGAAGGACTGGTTATATTACAGATTATTTGCATTACAATAGAGACACTTAACAAGGTAGAGTGAATACACAAACTTGAAGAGGGGAGGGGGGCTTGCAGGAAAACTGAAATTCTCCTGGACATCTAGTGTTAAATGATTCATAATCTTAAATTATTCATCTATGTTTTTTGTAATATGTTTATATTAACAGTTTTGGAAAATTCTTTATGTTTAATTGTCCTTTATTAAATTTGCAACTTAACCTGTTTGGCCGCAGAAAGGATTTTATTACAAGTTCCATATTATGCTACATTTGAAAATAATTTTTTTTAACGACATAATGTTTTTGCCATATGTGCAGGGAAATTCTCAAATTAGGCAATCTTTACCACAAATCCCCTAATTATGTCCTCCTCTGGATGAGTCCTCCTGAAGGCCACACTCCCACAACCCTCAGCAGTAACAACCAGTGACAGTTCTTTAAAATAGCGTAGGAGCACAGAACAATGCAGAAGATGAAAACCGCAGCTTGACCGATGGGCTGCTACAGACCACCCCGGCAGCTTATATCAGAAGATAAATGCTTTTCAAACACAACATTTTGAACCCACATTAGCTAAGATGTTATTAAAGGAAATCAATAGAAATTAATGTGTTTTTTTTTTTTTTGTACATCCTATACAGGCTCTAGAACACTTACCGTATTACTGTAAAAAAATATTTATTATTTGAATTTTGCATAATATGAAACAGGGATAATAATTGTTATATTTTATCTATTCTGATAATTGTTAGTGTTGATTTATGCCATTGAGTGGGTGTCTTTTTCTTCTTAAGACGCTCTATGGCTCACTAATGGTTCACTATAACATTTGTTTACTTTAAGAGCTTCCTTTGTTAAACCATAAGCCAAGGCATCGTTATTTATAAGCACTTTAAAATGCTTACAAAATGTGCACCATACATTATAGACACATAAAATAAGACAACTAGGGTAAAAAAATGTCATGATGTTACAAAGTTCTGACCCAAAAATGCAGAAAACCGAATAGAGAGAAGAGGGAAAAGGTTTAGCGGGTTTTATTGAAGAAGTTAACAAGGGGAGAAGTGTTGCTCTGAACACTGCTCAACCGGAACTGCAAAGTGAGGGGAAGACACAGCGGTTAGTTAAGGCTCAGTGGGGAATTAGACCTGTGAAACTTTGAGAAGAAGTTTTGGTTGCCGACTCACGTTTCCAGTGAAGTTGTTGTATCCTTGACTCCTGTCTGTGTGCTGAGGTTCCAGTGTTTGTATGATTCGGTGGAGGTTAGAAACAGGTTTTACGCAGAATGCGGTTAATAGATGGAGAACGGAGAAAATGACTGCCACCCAGATTTCCTGCAGTACTTGAACGGATCGTTGTGGAAAATAATCCCTTTCTCAGTGAAAGCTCAAACGATCTTTTGGGGAAAGTGGATCCAAACCTCCTGTTTGAATCCCAGCTCAGTTTGAAGCTCAGTTTATCCTTCCAGGGTGTGAAGGTCCGAGAGATCCAGTTAGCAGGACAACTTCCTGCTGAGAGGCAAAGACAAAAACAAAGTTAAACTCAGGTTGACAAAAACTCAGTTTGACTCAGCAAAACTCAGCTTGGCTAGAGTACCCAAAACTGGCAAACACTCTGGCATCGAGGTAGTGGCAGTCAGCAGCTTAAGAACACTCCATTTAACGAGGAAACCATCCGCAGGTGTGTGAGGAGGCGGACCAGAACCAGGCGCCTCCTGGTGGATGAAGGGAGATAAACACAGAAAACACAGACACTAAACAGGAGTCCTGACAACAACAAAAAAATATAAGGACCCTATAATTAAAAGTATTATAGTATATAGTATAGTATATAGTATAAATATTATTATAGCCTGGGAGGTCTTTTTTTTATCAGACTACCACACTGCGAGCTACTTTTGGACCAGATTGTCCCCCCCCCCCAAGATGAAAAAGATACGCTTCATCAGACTTTTAATTCATACAAAGAAACTGATCTAATAAAGGCTCATCTGGAAAAATATAGTTTTTTATGTCTTATCTTTAAATCCTTTGCAGTTGGAACCGATTAGCTGTTGAGCATTTTTTTAATGTTTTCAGGCTTTTATGCCGTCTTAAAATCTTGATGCACAGATATAAAACTGTTACATGGGTACCAGGAGAAAAAAATTCAACTGACTTATAACATGGCATTTATGTATTTTTATGTACGTTTTGTAATAACCAAACAACACAATCTTTTTCTCAGTTCTCTCTTGTGGTTGGAAAAATTTGATTTCTCTTATTTCATATATTGATTTGTGCTGTTTACTCACTATAAAAGTTCTTCACTCAGTCAGTTTTGCCTGCAAGGCCACACAATGCCTGAGTAAGGGGTGTTTGTTGACAAGACATACTTATTCCCATAACAAGCCAGATTCTTCCTGAAGGTCTAATGTTTAACCAAAGTGTCTGTGATTTGTTTGTCTCTAACTACTTGCCAAGGAGAAATAAATGAGGTCCATATCAGAACAGGGCTGATTACCCTGCTATAAGGGACGCAAAATAAAGTGCAAAATGAGTGAAATCCATCTATCTCTGTTTATTTAACTGGAGTAAATAGTTTAATACTTTTTTTTTCCAAATACACTCTTCTGCAACAAAATATATCAAGTTTGACACTAATATTAACCTAGATCCAGTTTCAAGGCTTTATGTTTCTCCTGACATCTACAGCTGGAGTTACTCCTTTTATGCAATAATATATCCTGTAGATTATAAATAAACTATTACCGTATTTTCACGACTATAAGGCGCACATAAACGTCTTTTTTTTCCCTAAAAATGTGCGGTGCGCCCTTTGGTGCGGTGCGCCCTATGTGTGTTGTAACTGCGACTTTTGAGACCACCTCATTGAGGAGATGATGAAAGAGTGGCTGAGGGAGGTGAATGTAAGGAGACCAGGTGGTTTTTTTCCACTCATCACCATCGCTGTTAATCTGTGACTCCATGCGTGCCCATCTCACAGCTGATGAGAAAAACATGGTGAAACAAATGAATGCTGTGTTCGCTGCGCATTTTGAGCAGCAGGCGCAGCGCGTCGGGAAAGTTTAAGCATCTGACGCGCCACAAATGCACTGCTGCTCGAGATGGAAAAATGTAAGTTTTGCTGCTGGAAGCGCCGCATCAACCAATCAGAGAAGCTGATCTGGGAGCTGACAGTGAGACAGACACATCGCTCTGATGACATATGATATTAAGGCAAATGAAAAGGGCTGGATGGATGAGGAGATGATGAAAGCGTGGCTGAGGTAGGTGTATGTGAGGAGACCAGGTGGTTTTTTCCACGCATCACCATCGCTGTTAATCTGTGACTCCATGCGTGCCCATCTCACAGCTGATGTGAAAAACATGGTGAATCAAATGAACGCTGTGCTCGCTGTTATCCGGGAGGTCTGACAAAGGAACTTCAACTGCTCGCATCGGTGTGAACCGGCCGTTCAAAGTAAGGCTGCGAGCGGCGTGGGAGCGATGGATGACAGACTGAGACCACAGTTTCACGAAAAGTGGAAGGCAGGGCCGGGCAAGTTACGCCACCGTTTGCGGATGGATTGTAGATGCTTGGGCTAACGTGTCTGCTGGCTCTGTTGTTCGAGCTTTCGCAAAAGCCGGCATTATTTCTGAGGAGCCGCCCGGCACGGAAAGTGACTCCGACAGCGAAGAAGGGGAAATTGGCATGTCTGATTTAGCGCAGCTGTTTAATTCAGAAACAGAGGATGATGACTTTGATGGGTTTGATTAATACTTTGTAATAAATACTTGAATAAAGCACAATCATACTCAGTTTTGCTCCCGCTCTATTTTTCTACCTGAAAACTTAATTCAACAGCAGCCTCTGGGCCGGTCTCCTCCTCTTCACCGCGGTGGCTGGCAGGTGTTTTTCATCTAAATAATCTAAATCTTGCAGCTATATTTGCTGTGATCAGTGGGAATAAAGTAGATTTAATATGTTTTTAAGTGAGAAAGTCCACCTGGAAACTTCATAATTGCAGTCAGTTCATCCAGATTATCATCCTGCCTATACTATTTCTGTCGGAGGCGCTCAGACCCCCAGCGGTGCGCCTACAGTAGTAGTAAATCCCTTCAACAGCAGCCTCTGGGCCGGGTCGCCTCCGGGTTCACCGCGGCGGCTGGCAGGTGTTTTTCATCTAAATAATCTAAACTGCAGGCCCCAGGATACCGGTAATAAAAGCGAACATATACCGTCGGCAGGTTTCAGGATTTTAAGTTAATTTAGGAGTGATCACAGCACTCTGTCATCTGCGATGTGTCTGTCTCACGGCCAGCTCCCAGGTTTGATTAATACTTTGTAATAAATACATGAATAAAGCACAGTCATACTCAGTTTTGCTCCCGCTCTATTTTTAAATACGCAGTAGAGGTATTTAAAAGTGGTAGAGGACATGTACCTGTATATAAAAAAAACGCGCCCTATAGTCCGGTGTGCCTTATGTGTGTGTTAAATACAGAAATGGCACACATAACTGAGACTGCGCCTTTTAGTACCTAGTAGCCTTATGGTCGTGAAAATACGGTAACTAGAAATGGAGAAGTAGATAACATTTTAACTTCTTAAAATCTGAGGTAAAATCAATTTGGTGTTCTTAGTTGAATAACTATAACTCTAATCTGCTCAATTACCAGGATTTATTGACTTAGGCTAGGCTATCAGCAGAGCTATTAATTATCAATCAAAGAACTACTTATCTCTGTTACTTCAACTGTCACCAAGGGGGGATCTGGCCTGAGTGATAAACCATTCGTTGTATGAAGCACAAACAACTGCAAGTTAAAACAATTAGTTTGGTCTTATTTGTGGCAATATTTCCCTACATTCCACTATGTGACAGTTTCTTTTTGTCCTTCACAGGGTAATCCTGGCTTGTCTTTAAAAGCATGGAATCGGTCGGATACCTGTTTCCACTTGTAAGTATTGTTGAATCACAGTGTTTATTAACCTTATCTTCAGAGGACTTCAGATTTGCATAGTTTAACTCAATACTACATCGTTGTTACCATATAACTAGTATTGCTTTTAATTGTAGAGATGTGCATTATAAAACCAATAGAGGGATTACAAGGATTATAAAGTCAGATAAGGAAGTGATTTTACATTCCCCTAGAAACATCCCTTTTTCCTAATTTTCCTTTACCTCAATAAGCTTTGTGCTTGTTTTTTTAGGTAGAAATTTTTATTTTTATTCTGAGACCAAGACTGCTCCAAGTCTGGGGCACAAGCCTGGAAGCTGTTCAAATTGATTAAAGGATGTTTAGCTAAATTGCTTCACATAATATGTGTTTCTATTTCTAATATTTTTTCAACTGTCTCTTTTTAATACAAAGTATTTCATTTTTATTTATTAATTTCAGGCAATTACATGCATTGAAACATACAAGTGAATGCCAGTTGATCAATTTAAACTTATAAATCCTATCGTAAACAAAATTAAAAAAAACAATTAAAGTAATCTTTGTAATCAGAGTCTAGTATCAAGTTAATTAAACTTCTGGGATACTGATTTGGTCAGGTAAGTAGCAGAGGGGGTTGTTAATTAGTTTCAGCTGCTTTGGTGTTAATGAAATTAACAACAGGTGCACTAGAGGGGCAACAATGAGATGACCATCAAAACAGGAATGGTTTTACAGGTGAAGGCCACCGACATTTTTCCCCCTCCTCATCTTTTCTGACTGCTTTTCACCAGTTTTGCATTTGGCTAGGGTCACTGTCACTACTGTTAGCATGAGGCGCTACCTGGACCCTACAGAGGTTGCACAGGCAGTCCAACTCCTCCAGGATGGCACATCAATACGTGCCATTGCCAGAAGGTTTTCTGTGTCTCCTGACACAATCTCAAGAGCATGGAGGAGATTCCAGGAGACAGGCAGTTACTCTAGGAGAGCTGGACAGGGCCGTAGAAGGTCTACAACCCATCAGCAGGACCGGTATCTGCTCCTTTTTGCAAGGAGGAGCAGGAGGAGCACTGCCAGAGCCCTAGAAATTACTGAATACCATTCTGAGTTGCTGCAATGAAATTTCCGCAAAATGGACTAGCTTGCCTCATAATTTTTTAACTGTAATTTCTGGGATGTCTTTGAATTCAGCCCTTTGTGGGTTGATAATGAGGGTGATGATTCATCTCCATCAAAAGATGTGGCATCCTTTTGTTCCTAACACATCACCCAGTCCATATCAGTATAAATAAACAGCATGATTTTTTCCCTATATGATGTGTTTTCAAAGTGTTCCTTTAATTTTTCTAAGGAGTGTATATATATTTCCAGCTACTTAGAAATTAAAACGCAAGATTGAAGGAGCAAAAGCAGTTTAAAGTAAAATAAATAAAAAATAATAATAATGTTTTCGGTACTGAGAACAAATAAGCAAAGAGCAGTTAAATACATAGTATCTTTTTGTTTTCTAGCATACCAGCAATGATAAAAATAAAAAAAATAGTAATAGTTTACACAATATCAACAATAGTAGAGAGACATAGAAACAATGGTGATGGACAAATACCAGCAATGGTCATAAAAACTACAAGCGCACATTAATATACACTAATATACATTTAAGACCCTCTCGGAACAAGCTGTGACCAGATAAACCGTTTGAACAGGATTTTAAATCTGTGAATATTTTTGCATTTTTTATGTAACTTAAGCTGTACCAGAGTTTCACTCCGCATACAGACACTCAAAAACCTTTCTGAGTTGTTGAAGGATAATAGAAGTATAATATTTGACAAGATCAAATATTTTTGAATGACTGACAAGAACTTTGACTGAAAGAGTTTGTGAGTAAAACCTGAATACCAAACCTTGTGAATTCTGTACTGTAACTATAGGATTAGTAATGTTTATGTCTATGTTTCCCTACATTTCCACACAATATGTGAGATATGGAAGAATCAAGGTACAGTATAGGGTAAAAAGTCCATCCAACTTATGGGTTGATTTTATTCAAAACTGAAAGGCCTTTGGATATTTTGGTTTTTGTGTGTCTTATGTGAGGCCATTAAAATGTATTATCAATTACTTTCTGTAAAAATTCAAAAAATATCCACTGGACTTGGTTTCCAAGATTTGAAGACGTTTCGCCACCTCTCCAGGAAGCTTTCTAAATTCAAATATATATGTATATATATATATATATATATATATATATATATATATATATATATATATATATATATATATATATATATATATATATATATATATATAGGGCCAATTCACAACACATGTCATCTCAAGGCACTTTACAGTTCACCAGATCATACAGTCAAATTGCTTAAAAGTTTTCTACCTAAGGAAAACCAATTGATTATACCTACTCATTGATTTGAAGGCAGTCCCTCACACTAAGCATGCTTGTAGCGACGGTGGAGAGAAACACTTCCTTTTAACAGGAAGAAACTTCCAGCAGAACCAGGCTCAATGTGAGCGTCCATCTGCTGAGGCAGACTTCTGTTCAGGCCAACGGGAGTTCAATTATATATAATATATACCATTGCTTATTAGGGGTGTAAATAATAATCGTTTTGTATCGATGCATCGATCCAAAAGCCTACGATCCGATGCATCGACACGTCCGCAAGATAATCGATTCATGTTTTTTTTTTCCCTCCGGTCTATTTTTTATCCATTTGCTCCTGGGCGTAATTCTCCTCCCGTGCTGCGGTGCCGCTAAACCTATTTTGCCCTCCTACCTCGCTTCCTGGTTATACTCCTGCAGCAGTGTGTTGCAGCAAGCTTCACACAGACATTTTTAAATTATGCTCAGTATTGAAGCGTGGTCTGAGCTACACACTGTGGGTCTAGATACGGCCGAGGCGGTGAGGAAGTGGGGGCGAGTTTAGTCCGACGACGGAGGGACATGAGGGCCAAAAAGAGCGGAGATTCAGCTGGAAAAAGGGTCCCAGCGTTCTCGCACACCTCGCTCTTCTAGCGGGTCAAACTTCATGAGTTGTTTTCCGCAATTTCGGTCATAAAAACAAAACAAGCCGGCCTCCTGTCTGCTGCACTGTTTGCGGTCAGCTACAATCTGGGAGAGGAGCAGCGGAGCGTCTCTCAAGGGGGCGGTGACGTCGACACTCTGGAGCCTTCTTCTTCTTCTTCTTCTTTTTTTTTTTAATGGCGGTTGGCAAACAACTTATAGGTGCATTACCGCCACCTTCCAGAATGGAGTATGGACCAGACAAACTATTATATTCTCCCTAAAATACCCGTTCTTCTTAGAAAATTAAAAATACTCCCAAAAACTGCATCCCCAGATTACCTTTGAAATAATTCCCTTATATCTAGTTTATTTTTATTCCTGTCTAACTCTCTACGCAACATCTCTCTTTCCTGAGTATATTTATTACATTCTAAAAAAATATGTTGGACAGTTTCTCTGGAGCCGAGGTATTGCATTGAACTCATTACACTGATATTGTGCAGCATTTTTGCAGTATTTTTTGATGCAACTTTTCTACTTCTGTTATTTGCTGTTGTTTCTAAAGAAAATGCATAATGCTATCACAGCTTTCATTGATTTATTTCAAACTTGAAACTTTGTTTAGCCTGTAAGGTGTAAAAAAAAAAAAAAAATAATTAAAAAAAAATTTAACCGATTAATCAATTAATCGAATCGAATCGTGGTGTATTCTTGAGTATCGAAAATAATCGAATCGTTGGGTCAGGAAATCGATACTGAATCGAATCGCCATGATGGATGTGATTTACACCTCTATTGCTTATATATTTTCTGTACATGTGCAAAATTTTTGCATCCTGAAACGGTTATAAAAGTAGGATAGATACCTGTTGAAGTCGATGATACTGGCCTGTAGAAGGCTAACAAAAGAAGCCAAACGACTCCCGTTCCAAAGAGGTGGACCCCTTCGTCCATTTCAATTTGCATTTCATAACAAGGTTTTGATGGGCTACTGCATAAAGCCTGGAACTCAACGCTACTCCTGACATTTTGAATTGAAAAAGCTTACTGGATGGGGAGCGAAACGTCTTAAAACTTGGAAACAAAGTCCAGTGGATTGTTTTTGACTTTCTTTTTTTTGAGGAACCTGTAAAATATTCTTTACAGGGAACTAGCTGAGCAAAGACACTCTAACCAACCTATTGACGGACATTATGTACAATGTTTTGAGACTGAAAACAGGGCAATATTGAAAACAATAAAAGAATTGACTCTATTCACCCCACTCAATAGAAAGACGTTTAGGGCAATCCATTTTGCACTTGCCTGTTTCAGTCTACATGCAAAACCATTTTCTTTATTCCATTTTGTTTTTCTTTCCGTTTTCTTTTTGGATTGAAATACAGAATATATAGAGTTTAACAAAAGAAAAGACAGCTCCTTAATCCATAGGTCCTTCTCATACTACAGAAAGTAGCACTGACATTTATTTCATTATTGTCTGGCTGTTATTGTCAAATAAAATACACAATTATTAAGAAATAATGATGATGAAAATAACACAACTTTTTTACATTATTCCTAGATTATTTTGAGCCTCATTAACCCGTCAGAGCAAGGCTTGTTTGACTACTTCAAACTGGAGGATTGGGTATGTAAATATCACTTTCTTTTCTTTGCCAGGAATCTATATAAAAAACTTCTCTCTGTTATATATTGTGTAAGGATTTTATCTTTCCAATAAAGGAAAGATAAAATTCTTTTATTGGAAAAAGATAAAAAAGGAAATTGCATGGCAGCTTTTTGTACTTAGCATTATCTGTGCAACATTCTGATCCCATATCGATATCAGATATCGGTCGGATGTATCGAACTGCATTAATAAACTCTGATATTAGCATTCTGATAGAAACACTCCACTTCTATTTAAAGTTAATGTAACCCACTGGTCAATAATACATGGCTGAGTAGTTATCTTACCATCAATCCATTTCCATCCATTTTCTCCTGCTTAGTCCTAGTCAAGGTCGAGGTGGAGCTACTGCCAACTGTATCTCCAGCAGTCTATGGGCAAGAGGCAGTCAGTCCCAGGGCAACACAGAGACACACAACCATGCACACACACAATCACATCAAAGTTCAGCTTAGAGACTGTGGGTGGAAGCCAGAGTACCCGGAGAGAACCCACGAATGCAAGAGAACAACACGCAAACTAAATGCAGAAAGAACCAAAGGCCAGGAATCGAACCTGGAACCTTACTGCAAGGCAACAGAGTTCTACCCACTGCCTCACCGACCGTGCAGCCGAGTTCTCTTACCTGTTTCGTCCATTTACAGTTTATTTCTGTTTGAGTGCTAAATCTACATGCAGTGAACCCCTGTTCCCCAAAACGGGTAGAAAGCATCAGCTCAGTCCACCAATCAGAAATATTTTCCATTAGACAACATAGTATCATAAAAAACCAACATTACATTTGCTCTGTTTCTTAGGATGGAATCAGTCCCATTTTCAAATTGCTAAATGTTCAGCATTCTACAAAAAAGTTCTTTCAACCTGATCTTGCAAAAATTAAATGTATTTAGGGGCTTAATGTTCAGTGCAGGATCGGTGAGTAATTTATGTTCTATGCCACATTTAGTTTGCTTTAGGTTTTGGTGCATTTAAACAGAGGATGTTTGGAGGAGGTCTGAAAGTTGCTTTCATTAATATTTTTATTTGCAAGTCTTTCACATAATGGAGCTGTCTTTTAGTGACTTTTCACTTGATTTAGTCGGGTTTCCCCGCTATAACCTGCCGTTAATAGTTAGCTTCCTTTACAAGTTAATAAATTCCTGAATCTAATTCCTGTCAGGCAAATTCTTTGTCCTCCTCTCAAAGTCCACAAAATGCCAGCATCTGTTCATCTTGAAAATATAAATCTTCTACAATTAAATATTTGGTTTTTAACACTTCTCAGCATTTCTTTTATAAAATATAACTCACAGCTATAATTTCACAGTAATAATAGTTTCAGTTTTCTGTAGTAGATGCTTGTTTGTACAAGCCTTGTAAAGCATCACTGCTGTCCTCAGCGTATTCAACTTTTAACCTTGCGTTACTCAGTCACAAACATCGTGTGAACAATGGTAGCACTATGATCTGTTGTTTCGGTCTAGTTAATACAGTAATTGCCTAAAACAAACTTTTGCCATTAGTAATGTTCTCCAAAATGTGCACACAAAGCCCTAAGGCGGGCATAAAGTGAATGTCATTTTATATCATTGTACTCAGCTAGAGCTGAAACTGCATGACTAAACCACAGGGTTTACAGCTTCATAGCTCATGATGTTCTTACACTGTACGGCCCGATGCTCTGATGCAATCTTACTGCTCACACTGTATGGCCAAAAACCACATGTTGGAATCAGCTCCGATGGATTGCACTGGTCAGACTCCGGAGGAAGAAGAACAACTCCTTTGTTTGCGGAGTGCATGTGGTTCTGCTAAATCGGCCCGTAGATGTTCTTAGCTCTATTTATATTCAATTCAATTCAGTTTATTTATATAGCGCCAAATTCACAACACATGTCATCTCAAGGCACTTTACAGTTCAACCAGATCATACAATCCAATTGATACAAAGTTTTCTATCTAAAGAAAACCAGTTGATGCATCTACTCATTGACTCAAATACAATCCCTCACACTAAGCATGCTTGTAGCGACAGTGGAGAGGAAAAACTCCCTTTTAACAGGAAGAAACCTCCAGCAGAACCAGGCTCAGTGTGAGCGGCCATCTGCCGAGGCCGACTGGGGTTCAAGGAGACAGAAGCAGAGACACAAAAAGCAGCTGTAAAAGGCTGTAAACTTTTACTGGCTGTAAACTGTATTTCAGTAGGATTTGCCCCCGAACACCTTACGACAGCCGACTAATTTCCAACATGTCTGATTTTTCTCCCGACCTTACGATTCCTGATCGGGAGGTGGTCATGAGAGACTAATTGCCCTTTGTTACCCCCTGTTTACTACACTACGCAGGATGCACGAAAAGGCTGAAACTCGGGCAAAAACTCATATAGCGTATGCCCGCCTTTATTACTGTCTCTAGAGATTGGATTTCCTGAAAAGTAGCTGATCAAAGGTGGTTTACTGTTTCAGAATGGTTCCAACCTCAAAGTGACAGAATTTGACATAAACAGATCAACGTGTGCCACTAGCCCAGAGAAGGAGCATACACTGGTATGTGATACATTGGAGGCCTCATGTTATTGAATCAGAGCACAAATGCGCATGGAGAGGAGTTTACACCCATGTTTAAAATAAAACTGCTCATATTAGTATTTTTACATGTGTGTTGTTCAGCAAAATGTCTGACTTTATAGTTTAGGACATAAAAAAGGTCATAAATAAAACAGCTCTGTTCCAACTCTCATTTAATAGCTGTGGTTACAGAAAAGCTGCATTGTGGTTAATGGTACGTTCACACTGAATGAAATTTGAGCAAAGCAAAAGCAGCCAGTTTACATGCAAGTCTACGGTTGAGGAATCAAGGCACAGCCAAAGGTACCGCAGCGTTAACCTGACTCCGCCAGATGGATTTGCTCCGCATATCCATCTGGAAACCTTCCATTGAAGTAATTTTGGGAAGGGGCGAAAATACTGGTTAGCTGATTGGCCTATGTTGGTGATAGACGGGCCAAATAAACCAATCAGATCAACGAAGTATATGACGTACTAACAGAGTGATGACGAAGAGGAGCCAATTGATAGATCAAACTCTTGCCGAAACCAGTCGGGAGAAGAGCAAAAACATTTTTCCTCTGAGAAAAGCCTCCAGAGCAGTGTTTTGCTCTTCTTTCAGTGAAGAAATACTGTGTAATTCCGATAAAACTTGCTCGTGTCCACGCTGACGCTAGTTTCATCGGCTGAAGACAGCTCTGCAGATGCAATAACAGCTTGCATGTAGCGTTTTCCCCCCAAAAAACCTCCTTGATCAGCTTTTCTGATTGGTTGATCTTAAATTTTCTTAACTCCAGCATCGAACGCTCGGCTGCTCCGACACCAGATCGCTCAAATGCGCCGCTGGAGCTCTCAACGCTGTCCCCCATAGACTTTGGATGTATATTGGACGCGTTGACATCGTTATTAAAAAATCTAACTGGAAAAAGGGCACAATTTTCTTCTAATATCCATCAATGCAAGGATGTTTCTTTTTCATCAGACTGATGTTGCTATAAGCAGAGAAGAACTTAGTTTTTTTTTCCTAATCTCTAATGTGGACTCTGCCCTTTTCTCTGAACTCTTTATTTTCAAAGATCATAGATTAGGAAAAATATGTTCCTTTTGTTATTCGAAAGGGGAAATTAACATTCACAAAATCAATGATACAATCAGTGTATAAAAGATAAACATTTTTCAGTCTATACGTGAAATGCACTTCCCAATAGAATTTTTCCACTTAATCTCTATCATCTATAGCAGTGTTTCCCACCCTTTTTCGCCTTGTTTATGCCTTTGGGCATTTTGTCTAACCATGAGTCACCCTCTCATTTAAAATTATTAAAAATACTAGATTATAAAATAAAAACTATTTCACTTCATCTTTTAATTTGAGCATTTAGTTTTAAGGCACTTTATGATTTCCATCTAAAAAAATAAATAAATAAAAATGTCTGGAAGATAGAGAGGAACTGAAAGAAATACCAAATAAAATCATATTATAAACCTGGACTTATAAAACTGGAGCTCCTCTAAGTAACTCCCTCATGATCACATTTAAACTTGATGGGAACAAAATACAGGACAAAAATAATTAGTTTGACTTTGTTTTCATCAAGAGACCTGAGCTGCTTTGATGAGCTCCATAGATCATTGTGAAAAAAAGCAGATCCCAGGCTGTTCTCTACATCCAGTCTGTTCTTCTGCTTTGATTTGATGTGCTTGAAAGCTGAATGTGAACTCATATATATAAGAAAACGTACTTTTTGGTTGACAAAAACTTGTTTAGATTTCCAATTTGGTCCTCACAAAGTAAAACAGATCCCAGCTCTATTTTATTTTACTATATAAGAAAGAAAATATTTTTATGTATCATTTGCAATGCACTTGCAGACCACTAGTGGTACGTGTACCCCCAATTGGAAATTATTGATCTACAGTAATGCAACAGTACAGACTGACTACAAAACTTGTATCCTTCTTTGAAAATGTTATTTGAAGCCTTCAGGGACTTGACCTCAGAAGATTTCTGGGAAATTATGTTTGGTTTAAGCAATCCTTTATTATTCTATGGAAAAAAAATATTGAACTTGGTCAATGTATTTGTTAACGTAGTAGTGCTCAGAGTTTTGTCTTGTTATTTATTTTTATTTTTGCTATGGTTATTTTTATGATGTATCTGTAAAATTTAAGACAATATTGAATGTCAAAATGTTTTCTTTTTTTTTTTCTTTAAGTTGAAGAAATACGAAAGCATGACCTCAAACGTGACCTTAAGAAGTACCAAAGATTACAAGGTAAATCACTAATTTAATAAAACAGAGAAATGCAAAAAAAAAAAAAAGAAAATTTGAATGAGTTGCATATTAACATGCATGTTTATATTTATCTTCCTTTCTGCAGAATGTCACATTATGCACTTTGTGGAATGAGGCCAAAGACAAAAGTTGTGATGATGGTGATTTAATGTCTTGCATCTATGACAAATGTCCTCACAGTGTAAGTTACACTTAAGATTTTTCAGTAGGGCTTTTTAATGTCTTGCCCTGTGTTTCAACAGTTTGTTATATAATGATGCCTTTATTTGTTTTCAGACATATCTGAAGGAAATATGTAAAACTGAGCTGAATACCACGATCTATGTGTACCACTTTCGGTGCTTGTTGGCTGAAGTACTCAATGTAACCAATCAAACAGGTAAGAAAAAAATATGACTAACCTGCAAAGACATTAAGACTGATAAAAACAGATATTTTTATATATTCATGTGACGGCTGCATCACAGACTTTTAAAATTAAAAACTATATAATCTTTACCCCAGACTGCTACTGTTATGCCTAAAATGAGAGGTATTTGTGGTAGATTTTGGTTTGTACAAGGAGTCAGAATCTAGGCCTGAAGCTTTCAGATAATTATGTGCATTAACACACCTGAATCAAATATTTAGCCTAGTTCCTTTGCTGAATTTTGGAAAATCTGACTCTATTTGAATACCTGAAATCAATCAGCAGAATTAAGCCAAAGCGGAACTGTATCCGCAATTGCCGATATAACTAATCCAGAGAGAGCTGATAGTTGGAGCTAGAGGATGCAGTATGCTTCCTAGTGCTAATGCAATAAACATGGGGGACCTTCTGATTATTGCAGATTTTGGTTTCTGTTAGATATAATAAATATTAGATATTTCTTTAGACCAGGGGTCTAAAGAAACGTTTTTCAGGCCAACAGTGCCCTGTTAAAAGAGCTCCTGTGTGTCGCTGAATGTGTGCATTGATGACTGAAAGACATCTTCTGCTTCCACTTATCTGTTTACTACAGTGTGCTGAATTCGTGTTATTGTGGTTTTAAAGATATTTCAATTAGTGGAAAAAATTGCAGGGGGGAATATAAAAAAGTGTAATCAACCAAAATTTTCGTGACCCCATGAAGTCCCTCCGCGGACCCCCTGTTGAAGACCTCTGCTTTGGACCATAATGGTATCGAATCAAAATTCAGTGCTGCAATCTTTCATTAGAATATATTGATTCAAAATATGGAAATAATTATAAATGTAAAAAAAATAATTTATAGACAAACATCTGTTGCAATGTCTTATTTTACATACAGTATCAGTTAAACCCCCAGCAGCTAGATGGCAGTGTACCACACAAGAGCCTATTATTCAGCAGCTCAATACCAGCTGCAGCAGGGAAACAAGACCTTGTGAGTCTTATTTAAGAGGAAAGAGATGGGAGTTCATCCTTTTAGGGTGAACAGATCTGTCCTGGTCTAGACAAGGTTTTCCTAACTAACTTAAAGAGCATTTAGGCCAACCATTTTACCGACAGTTGAAGAAACGTGGAAAATGTTGAATAAACCTCGGACCTAAAGGAGTCTGGCTTCTGTTCCTAACATTCAATATTACTAAACATCCCCCTTAACTTTATCGCGATATACCAGGGTAAATCCTATCGTGATACCACGTGCTAGTTCCTCCTACGCATGCTCAGGTTCTTGCTGGAGATTAGAGACTGACATGGGAGTGGATTTTCACTCCTGTCCCGTCCCACTCCCACAGAAAAAAATTGTGTCCCGTCCCGATCCCGGGCCAGAGTAGAAATCTAAATCCTGTCCCGTCCCACTCCTGGTGAAATTACTCCCACTCCCATCCCGCTCCCATTCAGAATGACTCCCGATCCTGCACCACTCCCATTCTTGTTGTCTTCATTAAGATTTCTGCCAATACATTGAATCTGAATTTCTATGAAGGGTCAGTTAAGTTCCTGTTTCTAACTGTAGTAGCTGTTGGTCCCTCCATTGTTGTTTTTGAGCGCGGGTGAAAAACTCAGAGCGGAAGCAAATGTTGGTTTTTGGGTCGTGTAGTTCTTTTGACTCGCATTATAGTGTAGGCTTCAAGGAAAAAACTACAAAATGGCGGCGCCAGTACTGGATTTTTTTTTTCTACTTTATTTAATTTTTTGGCATCGATCCTAGTTTTTTTTAGTTACTATTAGTTTGCTCCCGCTCCCGTCTGCTCCCGTTAATGTTTAATCCTGTACCGTCCCGATCACGTGATCGTTACTAATACTGACTCCCATCCCACGGGAATCCCATGGGAATCCCGTGACCCGTGGGATTCCCAAAAAAATGTCAGTCTCTACTGGAGATCTCACTGGGCGCACCATTTTCTATCCAGCGGCCATGCCTGAGAAAAATGTGTTTTGACAAGATTGGCGGAGACAACCCTCTTCTGTAAGCCTCCTCCTGATTGGGCCTTGCCGAAATGATCACACGGGAAGTAGTGTAAGGAAGCCTTTGACTGACTGGTTGTGAATTCCAGTTATCCCACATACTGTTTCGCCACCAGCCGTCGTCTTCACTTATGGATGACGAGTCAGTCAAAGGCTTCCTGACACTAATTCCTATGCAATCTTGACTGTAAGGCCGAATCTGGAGGAGGCTTACAGAAGAGGTTTTTCTCCTCCCAAACAGGAACTAGCGTGCGGAGAGCAATTTTCTTCTCTCAAAGTGTCAGTTTCTCGCTCATGTTTGATTTTGTTATACAGTGGTAGATAGATCATGCACAGAAGTAGTTTAAAATACATGCGAGTATGTATATTCTGTCCGTGGGCGTTTTGAAATAGATGTGACGCCATATGGGAGGACTCTGTTTGCCATTCATGCAGCTTTTCCCCAGAGGCCAATTTTATAGATGGCTCATGAGAGATTCTAAACTGGATTCCATCTTTTCCCTTTTGCTGCAACAAGTTAGAAGGCTTTTAATTTCCTAAATGTAATGAGGCTTTTTTTATATTTTGCATTTGGATGTGTTGTGATTTTGTTAAATGTATCATTGGTATAAAAATGAGGAATTTAGCAGCTTTTTTTGGAATAATGAAGTGCTAAAGTTATATATGTTTGTACAATTTTGGAAGAAAACAAATTTAACATAACAGTGATTATGTTTCCAAAACACTAAAGTACAGAATATCCCCCAACAGTCTGACAGGACATGAGATGCAGCTACAAAGTAAAACACATCCGCCTATATATGCTAATTACACAGGGAAAGAGTCTGTTTTGGAGTTAATCTCTTATTATTATCCTATTAATTGCTTAATGGGATAAGAAATTAAATAATTTTATTGTAATCGCTTGAAAAATCCCTAATATTCATATTTCTGACTTTCAGAGGTTTTAGGATGTCAGAACTTCGGTGAGTTGTATTTGTGTATCTCATTACATATATTCAATATGTAGATGTATGTATTAGTATTTTAGTACTGCATCATTTTCTTTTATTTGAATATTGGACACAATAATATAACTCATTTTATTGTATCTTTTAGGTGATGAAATTAATAAGGTGATAAAGCTATGGAACGATTTGCCACTTGGTAAGTTTTAGGTTGTTGATTCATCTCAGTGTTTTATGTTGTGTATTTAAGAGAACAAAATGTTACCTATATCTGCACGTAAAAACATGAAATTTAAAACCTCTTCATTCAAAGTAACATGAATATTTTATAATCCATATCTCCCCACTTTTAGAAATATTTTTTAACATTTTGGTATAGCTCATATCAAATAAGCCTTCTTTACTTGGGCCTTACTTATTCCATCTAGTGTTTTTAAGCAATTCTAGAGTTGTGTTTTTTATGACATAAACTGTATATTACACCTAATTTGTCCAATGACTTTTGCACTTTTCCACCTTGTGGTAATTTTCTTCCTATGCTTTATGTTCCCCTAGTATGTGTTGAGGTAAACATGATGAATGGCGACCCCACAAACCTGTTTATTATGGTTTTAAGCCACACATCATACACTGGATGAGCTTCACTGCCTGTGCAACTTGTATGGGTTGTAGAGTCCTTCTCATGCTACCATCAGGGTGAAAGCACCATCAATATTCAAAAGTAACTCAAACATCAACAACAATGCATAGGTGCTTAGAAGTGGCCACCTGCAGGGCCACTGCGTAATTGAGTCTGTCTTCCTTATTGCTAATCATTTCCATCTGCTGTCTATTCCATTTGCAACACAGCATGTAAAATTGATTGTCAATCAGTGTTGCTTCCTAAGTGGACAGTTTTTAGTAAAGTGTGATTTGACTCAAGTACAATTTGTTGTTTACATGTTAACTTTTTTTGTGAGCAATGTATTATAAAAGTAACTACAGACCTATTTACAAACTTTGCTTACACCTCAGACTAGAGTTTAGGTGCTGATTGTTTAGATATTTCTACAGCTCAATAGAAGTCCATCTTTGGTCAATGCTGTTGGATGGCATAAGCATAAGGCACATTTGTATTACATGTCCATCCATCCATCCATCCATCCATCCATCCATCCATCCATCCATCCATCCATCCATCCATCTTCTTCAGCTTATCCGCGGTCGGGTCAAGGGGGTAGCGGGTTCAGTAGGGAGGCCCAGAGGTCCCTCTCCCCAGCCACTTGGGCCAGGTCCTCCAAGGGCGCTAAATCCTAAGGCGTTCCCAGGCCAGAAATATAGTCCCTCCAGTGTGTCCTGGGTCTCGCCCTTGGCCTCCTCATGGTGGGACATGTCTGGAAAACTTCAATAGGGAGAAGTCCAGGAGGCATCCTAACCAGATGCCCGAGCCACCTCAACTGGCTTCTCTCGATGCAGAGGAGCAGCGGCTCTACTCTGAGTCCTCCCCAGATGACTGAGCTCTTCACCCTATCTCACACACTACGGAGAAAACTAATTTCAGCCACTTGCATCCGGGACCGCGTGCTTACGATCATAGATAAGGGTGGGAATGTAGATTGACACGTAAATCGATAGCTTTGCTTTCTGGCTCAGCTTTAATTTCACTACAAAAGTGCACGCTTCACAGCAGACGCCGCACCAATGTGCCTTTCGATCTCCTGCTCCATATTCCCTTCAGATGTGAAAAAGACCCCAAGACACTTGAACTCCTCCACGAGGGGCAGTGCATCCTCCCCAACTTGGAGAAGGCACTCTACCCTTTTCCGGCTCAAGACCATGGTTTTTGGAGGCACTGATCGTCATCCCAGCCACTTCACACTCGGCTGTGAACCACTCCAGTGAGAGCTGTAGATCACAATCTGATGAAGCCAATAGAACCACATCATCTACAAATAACAGAGACACAATCCTAAGGCCACCAATACAGATCCCCTCAACACCTTGGCTGTGGCTAGAAAGGACTCTGGTGGAATGCTCATAGAGTTTATGGACTGACCCGGTGCCCATTTACAGAGGAATTTTGGAGACCCCTCCAGTAGAAAGAAGAATCCGAGAGGGAGTGATTATGTTGATAGAGGAACCCAGGAGGGAGCTCGGGAGACCTTTCCAGTTGGCTGATGCACCCAAACTGAAACCCCAAGAACAGCACTTGGAAAACTGGAACCCATAAATGAGCTGTTAGGAACGGCACTGTGGAGACTAGAGTCCTTTCCGAATACTAAGGAAGGTCTCTTCTACTCAGAGCAGATTTTGGTTCCCAGACATCACAGGTCTGGCCCTTACTGTTTGATGAGGTCAAAGACAACCTTTGGTGTTTTAGCTTAGCTTCAGGAAATGGAGGCTCTTCACCATTTTGGCAAAATCAGATGATGCTGTTCTTATAAGAAGCCATTTTGAAATTCAACAGACATAACTGGATGGACATATGCCTGTTTTTTTCTTTTTCTGGAGGAGCCACGACTGAGTAGTGAGTGCTGTACATGCCCATACTTTTCAGTTGGCTGAAATTTTGTTGAGATATTTAATGGGGGGTTTTCATTAGTTTGTCACTTATAATTATTAAAATTAAAAGAAATAAACACAAACTATATCAGTGTGTGGGGAATGAATAAATATACAGTTGCAGCCATTCAAAATGGCCCTTCCCTGTCAAACTCCAGCTGAATGGCAGCCTACTCCCCTGCGACTCCCAGCAAAATCCCATCTAACTTCTAGCCACTGGCCTTCCACTGGGCATGCATTTTTTAAATCTGACTCCACCCTTTCTCTGAATTACAGGGTCTGACCAGGATCTTAATTAGATCTTAATGTCCACGAATCATGACAGAAAGAATATTTGGGTACAAAGATTGATGTTTAAAAAGGAATTGTAGGGGACATGCCAAGGAACATTCAAGGGCCAATGAAGGAAAGTGGGGAAGTTTTAAATGGCTACTAATGTAAAACACAAGTTTCACTTTATGAATGTAATTACTGAAATGAATAAACATTTTTATGATATTATTATATGTGAGTTATAATTATTTACAAGCACCAGTATATATTGTATAATTTTTAATGATGGGGCTGGAAAACTACTAATGCTACATTCACACCTAAAGCAGCAAAGGCATCAGGAGCAGCTAGTTTACATGCAAAGTCAATGGTTGACGCACATTAGGGCACAGCAAAAGGTCAGCAGCAGGAGCAGCGCGTCTGAGCAGTTGTGACCTTCTGAGAATCTGACGCACAGGACGTGCTGCAAAGCAGCTGCTGGAGATGGAAAAAATTAACTTTTGCCGCTTAACGCCTAAATTAACTTAAAATGCCGAAATCTGCCGGCAAAATATGTTCGCTTTTATTATTCTGGTGCCTGCAGTTTGGATTACATACATGAAAAATGCCTTCCAGCCGCCGCCGCAAACAGGGCCAGAGGCTGCTATTGAATGGGATTCCTACTGACAGCGCGCCACCGGTATGTGGGGGTCTAAGTGGCTTAGACAGCGAAATAATATTTGAAGGTAGGATGGTAATCTGGATGAACTGACTGCACAGATAAAGTTTTCAGGTGGACTTTCTCACTGAAAACATATTAAGACTACTTTTTACCCACTGGCCACAGCAAATATAGCTGCTTTTGTTACAGGCAAAGAAAGGATAGGGTAGCTCTGCCCAACGCGCATCAGACCCACTTTTCCACATCAGACCCACTTTTCCACCGCGAAGCCGGAGCAGCAAAGATGCTTCAGCCACTTGTCAGAACTAAACTTGTTCAAGCATCAAAAATTAAGCAGCACACGCGTTTTTGCTGCTCTTGTTGCTTGCAGTGTAAACATAGCATAAGGCTTTGTTAAAGCTTTGATGTGAACTGTATCAACCAGTCCTGACCAGTCTTTATGTGCTTTATTGTACCTTTACTTTAAGACGGTTTATGTCAATGTCTGTGGATCCAGTAATCAGGAACTTACTGAAATCTTTGTGATTTTAGATCCAACAACTCCAGAAACAGCAGTGTCTTCAACAACTCCAACAAAGTCTACACCAGGTACATCAACAGAATTTTCACCGACTACTTGGACAACACCTTCATCGACTACGACAACATCTCCATCAACTAAATCGACAAAATCTTCAATAACATCTCCATCAACTAAATCGACAAAATCTTCAATACCATCTCCATCATCTAAATCGACAAATTCTTCAATAACATCTCCATCAACTAAATCAACAAAATCTTCAATACCATCTCCATCGACTAAATCGACAAAAAATTCAATAACATCTCCATCAACTAAACCGACAAAATCTTCAATAACATCTTCATCCACCAAATCGACAACATCTTCATCAAGTAAATCGACAAAATCTTCAGCGACTGTGATAACATCTCCTTCAACTAAATCGGCAAAATCTTCAACATCTTTATTAACTTATTTGACAAAATCTCCAACAACAAAATCTCCATCAGCTATATGGGAAAAATCTTCCACGACTATCACAACATCTCCATCAACTAAACCGACAAAATCTTCAATAACATCTTCATCCACCAAATCGACAACATCTTCATCAAATAAATCAACTAAATCGACAAAATCTTCAATAACATCTCCATCAACTAAACCGACAAAATCTTCAATAACATCTCCTTCAACTAAATCGACAAAATCTTCAATACCATCTCCATCAACTAAATCGACAAAATCTTCAATAACATCTCCATCAACTAAACCGACAAAATCTTCAATAACATCTCCATCAACTAAATCGACAAAATCTTCAATACCATCTCCATCAACTAAACCGACAAAATCTTCAATAACATCTTCATCCACCAAATCGACAACATCTTCATCAAATAAATCAACTAAATCGACAAAATCTTCAATAACATCTCCATCAACTAAATCGACAAAATCTTCAATAACATCTCCATCAACTAAACCGACAAAATCTTCAATAACATCTTCATCCACCAAATCGACAACATCTTCATCAGCTAAATCGACAAAATCTTCACCGACTGTGATAACATCTCCTTCAACTAAATCGGCAAAATCTTCAACATCTTTATTAACTTATTTGACAAAATCTCCAACAACAAAATCTCCATCAGCTATATGGGAAAAATCTTCCACGACTATCACAACATCTTCATCAGTTAAATCAACAAAATCTTCAACATCTTCATCAACTAAAGTAACAAAATCTTCTACATCTGCATCAGCTAATTTGAAAAAATCTTCAACTGCGTCTCCATCAACAAAATCCTCAACAGCTACAACACCTTTAGCAACTACGGCAGGACCAAAACAAGGGGCAGGATCAATTCAAACAGAAACTAAAAAAGCCACTTGTTTAGCTTGCCCTGGAATTTCTTGTGGTAAGATAATGCACTTTATATGATAGCTTCCCACATAGAAATTATGAAGTAATGGTTTGTAAGCATTACAAACTCTGCTTACATCAATGTCTTCCATCAATGTTGGTTTCACTAATAACTAGAAGCTTTATCAAAAAGGAAAGTTTAAAGACTACCCTTAAAAGTAGACAGGGTGTCTGCCTCATGGACTAAAACTGGTTGGTTCCACAGGAGAGGTGCCTGATAACTAAAAGATCTGCCTCCCATTCTACTTTTAGAAATTCTAGGAACCACCAGTAAACCTGCAGATTGAGAGCGAAGTGCTCTGTTAGGAACATAAGGAACAATCAGATCTCTGATATAAGATGGAGCTTGGCCATTTAAGGCTTTCTATTCTGGATTTAACAGGAAGCCAATGAAGAGAAGCTAGAATAGGAGAGATATGATCTCTCTTTTTAATTTTCATCAGAACTCTGGCTGCAGCATTTTGGATCAGCTGAAGGCTTTTAACTACAGTTTGTGGACTTCCTGATAGTAAAGAATTACAATAGTCCAACCTTGAAGTAACAAATGAATGGACTAGTTTCTCAGCATCACCCTTGGACAGGATATTTCTAATTTTTGCAATATTCCGCAGATGAAAGAAGGAAATTCTAGAAACCTCTTTGATATGGGATTTAAATGACAGGTCCTGAACAAAAACAACACCAAGATTTTTTACTTTATTATCTGAAACCAGTTTAATCCCATCCAAATGAAGCGACTGGCTAATCAGCTTATTTTTCAAAGACTTTGGTCCAAAGACTATAACTTCTGTTTTGTCTGCATTCAGAAGGAGAAAGTTAAGAGTCATTCAGGTTTTTATGTCTTCAAGACATGCCTGTAATCTATGTAATGGGTTAGTTTCATCTGGCTTTATAGACAGATATAGCTGGGTATCATCAGCACGACAGTGAAAATTTATCTCATACTGTCTAATAATTCTACCAATTGGGAGCATATCCCATAAAAGAATCCTATAAAATTATTACTGCTAAGAGCAGTTGGGATGAAAGGTTCAACAGAGCTATGGCTCTGGGTGAGTTTGGCAACTGTGTTAAAAAGAAATCTAGGATTATTCTTATTCTCCTCTATTAATGAGTAGAAGTATGCTGCTCTTGCTTTACAAAGTGTCCTCTTATACAGCATTTAACTATTTTTCTTGACCAGGTAGGATTCCCATAGGCCTGTAGAGCTCCATGTTCTCTCCAGTTTTCTAGCATTTTGCTTTAGAGTGCACAGCTCTGCATCAAACCAAGGAGCCAGCTTTCTATTTTTAAAGTTTTTCATTTTCAAAGGGGCTGCGTTGTCTAAAGCAGTATGTAGTGAACTAGCAACCCCATCAATAAAATCATCAACCTGTGAAGGGGAACAAGCTAAACTTTTGCACTCTGCCGCACTGCTCAACGACACAAGGAGAGAAATAGAAACAGATTCTTTAAAATTTTTAATTGCACTATCCGATGTACTAAAGTGAAACTTTCCTTTTTTTTGAGGGGGGGGGGGGACTCTTTTAAAGTAATCCTGAAGGTCATTAAGAAGATTACTTATAAAAAACATTTATCACGCTTAGCTGCAAAATATTTGTTTTGAAATATAATCTAATGTTAGGGAAAATATATCATACAATATTATTTTCTCTGCTTATTAAAAATGATTATTACAATAATTACAAATAATTTTGTATAATGTTCACACGCACATACTTCAGTTTGAAATCTAAAAATGTTATGTTAATCTTATTAGGTTAAAACTTTTAAATATATTTGTCATCCTTTTTTGTTTTAAAAATCCTAGGGCCTAGAAGTAACCTCTGGTTTAAATAAAATCTTTCTGAAAATACAGGATCAAAATCCTCTCTCTCCATTTTGGTGACTTATTCTAAAACATAATAATGTCGGTTTTTACAGAAAACATGGAGTGATTTTTGTTCCACTATTGTTATATGCAAATACCACATTTAGTTTTTTATCTGATGTTATAAATTATACTTTACAGATTTATATTGTCTTCATTTTAAGCCCCATAGCAAAACTTGCTCATGATGCTCACATTGATCACACAAGTAGGTTGCAAGTGTCCATGCAATCCAAAAGATTCACGTGTTTGCTCCTCAGTCCAGGAAAAAAAAAGATGGTTTCCAAAATTCATTTGAAAAGAATTTAATTCTTGAAATTAGATCTAGAAAAAATTCATTTAGGAAAAATATTTAAAAATGTTAAATCATCAATCAAAAATCATCATCATAAAATGTAATCATATATTAAAAACTAAAATATGAAAAATACATTTTAAAAAACAGCAAAGTAACTCAGCATTTTAGTTTGATTTAACTTTTTTCAAAGTTAGATTTTTTCTTTTACAAAATGTTTTTTTTTGCCTGTTGTTATTAATGTAAAAAAAAAAATACTTAATAAAAACGGAAATGGTTGGTGATGTTCTGTAAATTTATAGTTTGTGGTTTGCCTAATAATATAAAAACATTTCTTTCACAGAAACAAGTAATCCAGAATCGAGGACTGAAGAAAAAACAACATGTACGTTTTTTTTTTTTTTTTTTTTTGTTAGATTTTAAATGTTTTGGTACATTTCATTTGTAAATATTGGTTGATATGTAACCTGATTCATTCATGTTAAGTTGTCTGGTCTTTCCAAACCCAGGGAACTCCATCATGGCCTGTTTTTTGGTGATTTCTGTCTTTGGAAATGTCATACAGGCAGTACACTCTTACCTACAGAGGAGACGATACGAGAGTAGGCCGGTAAGCCTGACCAGTTATTATTGAGTAAATAACTATTATCTTTTATATTTTACTTTTGATTAGTTACACAATAATCACTTTGCTTATCAATTAGATAAGTAAGTACAATACTCTTGACTGAAAAATGTAAATGTAAAAAAAAAAAAAATCTTTTGTGTGTGTTTTTTTTTATGCATATTTATTTGGTATTCAGCATCAAAGGAGATTGAAAGATTCTTTTTATTTAGTTTAATAACTCATGAGTGAACACTGTAATCCACTAGGCCAACACTCCATGGTTAATATTTATTTTCCCAATTCTCCACACATGCCATCTCATGGCACTTTACAAACTTCTTTTAATCAAATCATAGAAACAAATTGATTAAAGTTTTCCGTCTACAGAAACCTGGCTGATTGCATTGAGACATTGTCTTTGGAGAATTTGCTCCAACATATAGAGACAGTTGATAATTGCCTGTTGACAGAAGCTAAAAATAACTTGTGTGGCATTCCTTCGGCAAAATGTAATACCAGGTACCAATCTTGTATTTAAAAACAGTCCACCTGTAATTGACCGATTAGTGGCAGGTTTAAACAGCTACTCTGCTTTACTTTGTTGTCTTTTTCAATCTATTTCAATCATGCTGTCAGAAACAAATATGGTTTGCAAATCTTTTTGTATTTCAGTCCAATCCTTGATAATTTTAGATCTCAAGCTGCTTTTCACCACATCAGGTACTTTTTGCTTGCTGTAACCGCATGCTCTTCTGTTCTTTTATTGTAGTCTAACACATTGCTGGATTTTGCTTACTGAGGACTAAAAGAGCCTAAAAAGTAGCTACGTGAAGCTTTTTGGTGGAAAAGGTCAGTGTCCTTGATTTTTAGTACTTGTGGAATGATATGTTTTCCTTGGCCTGTTTGTGAGATAAAATGTTAAAGTCTGCCTTTCGTCTCTTCCTGAATAGGAGTGATTACTTAGAAGCTTTGCTGAAATGAAAGGAAAGAAAGGAGGGTTGAAAGGGAGTTCTCTTGGGGAATGTTAATTAGGGTTCAACAGCCGACGATCCGATTCATCATTCGTCTGCAAGAGAATCGATTCATGTTTTTTTTTTCCTCCGGTCTATTTTCATCCATTTGCTCCTGGGCGTAATTCTCCCTCCCGTGCTGCAGTGGCGCTAAACCTATTTTGCCCTCCTACCGTGCTTCCTGGTTATACTCTTACAGCAGTGTGTTGCAGTGAGCTTGACACAGACATTTTTTAATTAAGCTCAATATTGAAGGATGGTCTGTGTTACACACTGTGGGTCTAGATACGGCCGAGGCGTCGAGAAAGTGGGGGCGAGTGGGGGCGGAGATCCAGGTGGAAAAAGGGTCCCAGTGTTCTCGCGCACCTCGCTCTTCTAGCGAAACGAACCAGGAAAAAAAATGCCTCTGCACTCAATTGGATAGACCTACAACCAATAAGAGCAACGGAGTGCGTGACGTATGTTAAGCGACGCATAGTTGTTGTCAACAAATATCAAAGCTTGCAGTTGCACGCCTAGAATAAGAAGATGAGCCTTGATCATGTTTCTCTGTTCCTCTTTTAAAATTAATTTGCTGTCGATATCTTCTAGAACAGACCTAATAACAGAATCTACTCACCTCAACTCTCCAGCGGCAGCCATTGTTGTTGTCACCCAAGCGCGCTTTGGTCACGTGGTTGATTATGTTACTGTTGATCATCTGTCCATCATCGTATAAAGCCCGCCCTGACAATTTGATTGTGCTAGCATACTCGCGCTACTGTTGAGCAATGCCAGACCGAACTTCCCGACCTCAAACGTTGTGGGCGGGGCTAAGTTCGGAATGGCACCCAGGCTAGTGATTTACACCCCTAATGTTAATATGTGTGTGTGTATGTGGAATTTTCTTATATGCAGGGGTAGGATGCTACAGCCTCAGTGTCATGATGGGTTCACTGGTGTGACCCAATAATGCAGAACACCACTGAGACAGAAACTGGAGTAAAAGGTTTAACAGAGTTTATTGTCATAAGCACAGAGAGTTTGACTGGTTCAGGCCTGGGAAACTGGTTCACCGGAGTCTGCGTGAGAGACAGTTCAGTTAGCGTTGCGCATAGGAGTTTGACTCTTGACAGTTTCAGATTTTTACCTTGAGGGTTATTGGTTAAAGCCTTGAGAGGGAAACTGTTGGGCCCGGAGATAGTTTGTTCAGCAGAGTCCGTAAGCTGCTTCAGCGTCTTACTTCTTAAGAGTGAGCAGACCTTGACTTTGAGTTTCCAGCTCTTGGTCCAGAGCTGCATGGAAGTTCAGAGAGAGGCTTCAGGTTTGGCTCAGAGGGCAGGCTCGGCAGGTTAAGCTCTTCCTGAGCTTCACAGGAGAAAAACAGGTTTCTTGGAAGACAGAGAAAAAAGTTAGAATCCAGTCTGGATTCAAAAGTCAACAAAGGTTCTCAGAGATACTAGGCGTAGGTGCTAACCAACTGGATCAACGCTGCCGCGTTGAGGCAAGGTCTGAAGACAGCTTAAGTACTGTGGATCCTCTGATGATGGAATGGGCTGCAGCTGTGCAGGAGGCTCAGCTCAGGAGGATCCACGGCGGACTCTGCTGGAGGAAGGTGGTACTTCTCCAGGTCCCAACAGTACCCCCCCCTCAACGACCGCCCCTTGGCGGTCCGGCGATCCTCTGGGCCGTAGCCCTCCCAGTCGATGAGGTACTGCCAGCCGTGACCTCGCCGACGGGAGTCCACGATTCGACGGACGGTGAAGGCAGGATGACCATCGACTTCCAGGGCGGGTGGAGGGGAGTCGGATGGTGGGCACAGAGGACTTGAGACTACTGGTTTGACTTGAGAAACGTAGAAAGTAGGATGAATACGAAGAGACTGAGGCAGTTGAAGGCGTACGGCTGAAGGGTTGATGACCTGGGAAATCTTATACGGGCCTATGAACTTTGGAGAGAGTTTACAAGACATTCCCTTGAGGGGAATGTCTCAAGTTGATAGCCATACCTCTTGACCCACGGAGTACTCGGGGGCGGGGCATCTCTTGGAGTCGGCAAAACGCTTGGTAGTCTCGGAAGATCGATTGAGGGTCGTGATGGTTTCTCTCCACATGCGTTGGCAGCGTCTGATGTGCTGGTTGACTGACTGGACCGAAATCTCTCTCTCGTCTGCGGGAAAAAGTGGAGGTTGGTAACCGAGACTGACCTGAAATGGTGATTGGCCGGTGGAAGTAGATTTGAGGGAATTATGAGCATATTCAATCCAAGTTAGGTATTGGCTCCAGTCGGTGGGGTTGTTTGACGTCAGGCAACGGAGGGTTGACTCTAGCTGTTGGTTCATCCTCTCTGTTTGGCCGTTGGACTGTGGGTGATAACCGGATGTTAGAGAGTACTTACAGTCGAGAGCGGAACAGAATGCCTTCCACATGAACTGGGGGCCACGGTCAGAGAGGATCTCCTGGGGAATGCCATGTAGACGGAAAACGTGTTTCACCAGAAGCTGAGCGGTTTGGAAAGCCGTGGGAAGTTTCCTGAGAGGGATGAGATGACAAGATTTCGAGAATCGGTCAACAATGGTGAGGATTGTGGACATACCTCGGGAGACAGGGAGACCAGTGACGAAGTCGATAGCTATATGGGTCCATGGACGCGAGGGAACCGGAAGAGGCTGTAGCAGGCCTGAGGGCGGCTGGTGTGAGGCTTTATTTCTTGCACAGGTGGAACAGGCCAACACATACTCCTTGACATCTCTGTGAAGAGTTGGCCACCAGAAGCGTCTTGAAATCAAGGCGACGGTTCTACTGACCCCCGGATGGGCGGAAAACTTGGCTGCGTGCATCCATTGAAATAGGCGAGACCTGACAGAAGATGGTACATAAGTTCGGTTAGCTGGACCGTTACCTGGGTCAGGTTCAGTAGCCAGAGCGGTGTTAATTAGATCGGTGATCTCCCAGGTAACCACTCCAACAGCACATGATGCGGGAAGGACAGGTTCAGGCGTCTCGGGTTGATCGACGGAGTAAAGACGAGAGAGAGAATCGGGTTTGACATTCTTGGATCCGGGTCTGTAGGAGATAATGAGATTGAATCGTGAGAAGAAAATGGACCACCTAGATTGACGGGGATTGGCTTGTTTAGCTGACTGGATGTAAGCAAGGTTCTTGTGATCTGTCCAAACTAGAACCGGGTGCTCAGCTCCTTCCAGCCAGTGTCTCCATTCCTCCAGCGCCAATTTGATGGCCAGCAGCTCACGGTCCCCAACATCGTAGTTTTGCTCTGTGGAGGAAAGTCTTCGAGAGAAAAAGGCACAAGGATGAATCTTTTGATCAGTGTCGAGTCTCTGAGATAAGACAGCTCCTACACCAGAATCGGAAGCGTCCACTTTGAGGATAAATTGTTTGGATGGGTCAGGCTGGATTAACACGGGTGCTCTGGAAAACAATGATTTCAGTTTCTCAAATGCGGTTTGTGCCTCAGGGGTCCATTGAAACGTTCGTTTGACTGAGGTTAATGAGGTAAGAGGAAGAGCTGTCTGGCTATAGTTCCTGATGAATCGGCGATAAAAATTGGCGAAACCCAAGAATCTCGGTTTTCAGGGACTGGCCATTCCAAAACAGCCTTTATTTTGTCCTCTGAAGGCTTAACCTGCCCGCCCTCTAGCACAAACCCCAAAAAGGTGACTGAAGGCTGATGAAACTCACATTTTTCAGCTTTGACGAACAGCTTGTTCTCCAGCAGTCTTTGCAACACTAGGCGGACATGCTTCTTATGTTCAGAAGGGTTCTTTGAATAAAGAGTATGTCATCAATGTAGACGAACACGAACACATTTAAAAAGTCTCTGAGAACATCATTCACAAGGGCTTGAAAATAGGCAGGGGCATTTGTTAAACCAAAGAGCATGACTAAGTATTCGAACTGACCCAAGGGGGTTTTGAAAGCTTTTTTCCACTCATCACCATCACGGATTCTAAGAAGATGGTAAGCGTTCCTCAAGTCTAGTTTGGTGAAAACA